TGACCGAGGGCAGTTCCTCGACGACATAGCCCTGGAAGCTGCGGCGCAACCGGCCCCGGCTCGCCGCGCTCGCCAGCGGATCCGACGGCAGTGCGAAATGATCGAGGCCGACGCGGCTGTAGCCGGCAGCGACGAGCCGCTCGGCCACCAGGTCCGCCATGGCGGCGCGTTCGGGAAGGCCGGGCAGGGTCGATACGTCGATGAGCTGCTGGCGCGCCTTCATCCAGGGGACATGCGCGTAGCCGAATACCGCAAAGCGCTCGGGGCGGATCGCGAGAGCGACATCCAGCGTGCGCGAGAGCGACTCCAGCGTCTGGCGCGGCAGACCATAAACCAGGTCGATGTTCACATGCCGTACGCCGGCGTCCCGGAACCGACCGATCGCCGCGCCCGTGACCTCGACCGACTGGAGACGGTTGATGGCCTTCTGCACGTCGATGTCGAAGTCCTGCACGCCGACGCTCACCCGGGTAACGCCGGTATCGACCATCGCCGCGACGAAGGCCTCGTCGCAGAAGCGCGGATCGACCTCGACCGACGTTTCGGCACCGCTTGCCCGGTCGAAGCGCCCGGCGAGATGCCTGGAAACCTGTGCCAGCCGTTCGGCGCCCAGTTGCGAGGGCGTGCCGCCGCCCCACTGGATCGTCCCCACCAGCAGGTGCGGAACGACCTCGGCCACCAGATCGATTTCGCGCACCAGCGCCTGCGCATAGTCGTCGAGCGGCTGCGTGCGACTCATCGCCGACGTGTTGCAGGCGCAGTACCAGCAGAGCCTGCGGCAGAAGGGAACGTGCAGGTAGACCGTCGCCCGCGCATCGGACAGGCCCGCGAGCCAGGCGCGATGGTCTGCCGGCGCCACGCCGCCATGAAATTGCGCGGCCGTCGGATAGCTGGTGTAGCGCGGAACGGGACGGTCGTAGGCCGCCAGGCTGCGCGGAGTGACGATGGTGCCGTCCACGTCCGTACCCTTCAGTGAGAAATGAAGACCGGGACCGTCATGCTGGCGAGAAGCGTGCGGCTCGCGCCGCCCAGCACCATCTCGCGCACCCGGCTGTGCCCGTAGATTCCCATCACG